ATATAATGTAAGCACTTTTGTAAGTTCACAATGTACCCCCAGTACAACAATAATATGATAATCAAAAAATTTTTAATGAAGAAAAAGAATATTAGTGTCTTGTCTGTGATACTTACTGTAAGCAACTCTCCCAGTAAGTCACCTGTCTCTTGCCTTACTCAGTGGCATTTTTTCCAGGCAGGTTTAAAATTTTTTTGTGTAGTCAAATTTTTATCAAGTTTTTCTTTATGTCTTCTGTATTACTAGAAAGCTCTTTCCCCCTTCAAGGTCATGATATATTCCTTTTTGGGCATTTTCTAGTTCTTTTGTGTTTTTGTTTTGTACTACATTTAAATCTTTGGTTCACTTGGAATCATTCTGGAGTAAGGTACAAAGAGAGAGGGGTTTAAATTTCTTTTTCAGATGATGATCTGGCTACCGTAATATCATTTATTTTCTTTTTCCTCATACATTGGAGATTTCAACTTTCCATATATGGTCATGCACATTTCTGGGTTTTCTATTCTTTCACGCCATTTGACTGAGTCATCGGCTCTTAGTAAATATTGTGTTCTAATAGATGGCAGGGCCAATTCCTCCCCCACATACTTCCTTTTCACTGGTTATCCTTGCTTATTGGCTTTCTACCCAAAGTTTAGGGTGGTAACCCTCCCTCTCTCCTGAAAGCCCCAATGTATGGTGGTGTTTTAGTCTGGATCCTATTACGCTTATCAATGGTGTTTGGGAAGCTAGAGGGATTAAAACCTATGTTGTGTATTCCTTCCTAAGAACAGGTGTGCTCCTTCCTTTCTTTGCAACCCTCAGAGCGTTTTAAGCCTTTCTTCATGTAGAACACACATTAAGTTTTTCCAGGGTGCTGTGTCTTTGTGGTGGTAAATGGATTCCTATTATGTTTTCCATTCACCTGAGGTTTGTGTAGACAAATCCATTGCTTCCTGCATACTGTCTGTCCCTTTCCCATCTGCCAGCTTACTTCTCACATTACTTAGTTTATTCTCATTTGCCTCTCCGTTCCATTTTCTGCATCTCTGTGTTCTTTTTCTTGTCTCATAGTGCACAGTTGTTTGTAATGGGACAGTGTTTAATAACAGTGGTGACAATGGCCATTCTTCTGTTTTCCTGCCATTAGTGGAAATGTTTCTAATGGATTTAATTAAGCATGATATTAGGTTGGAACTAAGAAATATTTTGTCATGTTAAAGAAGTATCCTTGTATTCCAATTTTTGTTGGGGTTTTATTTTTTAAAATCAGGAATGGATGCTGAGTTTGGAAATGTCCTTTTGGCATTCACAGTGATGAGCACAGGGATTTCCCTTTTAGACCACTTCCTGAGGCAATGCCTTGATACCCACCCCAAACTCAAATGGTTCTTGCATTCTGAAATAATCACCATGTGATTGTGACGTGTTACTTATCTAATATTCTGCTGGGTTTAGTGTGCTGATATTTGGTTTAAACTTTTGCATTAAAACTCATGGGAAGATTGCTCTATGGTTTTACTTGTATTCTGTATTGGGGGCATTGTGTCAACGTTAGGCTTATTTCACAAATGGCATTTTCTGGTGTCTTAGAAACATATTTCACTATTTGTGCATGTTGTCATAGAGATTTTGCTTGTTCTTCTAACCTTCATGTTATTATAACTGCTATCGCAGCCAGGCCCCACTACTCCTGACTTTACAACAACTGCTAAGACTTTCTGGAAGCTCTCAATGGGCAGGCTGTGCTTTCAGCACGTCACATGAATCTCTCATTAATCACAGCCTCACCAGCAGGGTGGCATTGCTGGGGTCTCATTCACCATGAGCAGACTCAGGTGGTGGGTGCAGTCCCTGCTGGAGGCTGGGTGTATAGAGTGTGGCTTGTAATCCCTCTCACTTTCAGTCATCTGCCTTTCAAAATCAAACTGCTCTGTGGTCTCCTCTCCTTACAGTAATGTATTATGAAATGTAATTTTTATTGTAACGTGGTAAGCAGACAACCCCTGCTGTTCTTGGTTTGACTAGGAGTGCGCTCCTTCTTAATGCCTCTGGTGGACAACTGAGACACCCCCCAACATCCTTAATCCTATAACTGCTACCTTTCAAAACTATCACCAAGCATGTTTGGCTGCTTGCCAAAGGCTGACCTTCAAGACACAACTTGTGCCTGATGATTTAGCTGCAGGGGCAAGGCCTAAACATGCAAAAAAGTGAAATAACAGCAAATTACTATGACAGTCCCTCAGGGCAGGGCTTGCTCAACTGCTGAACAACAGGGCTGGCATTTAGTGCTCAGGGAGTTCAGGGAGAAGCAGGTGTGGTCCAGAGGGTCCTGGGAAGGTTCTGAGATGATGGGAACAACACTCCTGGCTGAAGAGGAGCCCCGTGCCTGACCCCAAGGGCTCTGAGGCACCCAAAAGGGGAGGCCAGCTGCAGGGTCCACAGTGAGGTCTAGAGTCCTGACCTGTGGCTTGGGCTTTCTGCAGCTCAGAGCTGCATGTACTTGGTGACCTATTATGGCACACAAGATGGGGTCTTCCTGGTCAATGCAATAAACACAGGGACAATAACTGCTTTGACAACCATCCACGGCAAATGACACTGCATGGGCCAGCTGTGACCTACCACCCATTTCTGAAATGACATTTGGAGCACAGCCCCGCTCACCAGTCCTCTCTGTATCCTCTCCGGATACTTTCAGGCTGTAATGGCAGAGCCAGGAGCTCTGGCCAAGAATGTATGCTCTGCAGCTAGAATATTTACTGTTTGTCCCTGTATGGAAAGACTTGTTGACTTCTGACCTATGGCAATTTGTCTTATTATCTTCTCTAGCATGAATTCCTCAAATAGTGTTTATAAGTCAAAGGGTATCCACTTTAAAGTTTTTGATGCCAACTTGGTCCAGGTCCCTTAAATAACGTCATGCTGGCTGGAGGCATGGCTCGTGTGACAGAGCATTTTCCTAGCAGGTGCAAAGCCCAGAGTTCAAACCCCAGTGCCACCAGCAAAAATAAAAGTGGTGCTAATTTATGCATCCAGCACCAATATATTCAAGTGACTTTTTGCTGTGTGCACACCAATTTGTTTTTTGTCCTGATTACAAAAATTTTACCAAGTATGTAGGTAAAGTGATACAGCAAAATTATTTTATATTGAAATATCTTTGCTAGTGAATTAAAAAAAATGTTTGAAGTACATTATATGCCTGAAGGAGAAAATCACAATGATATCCCTTTGTGCAGTTACTACACATTAAGAAAAAAATTTTAAATCCTTTTCATATTCTTTGACTTCCTTTCTACTGGGATGTTCCACCTTCTTACAGCTCTTTAAATATGAATGCTGTCCACCATCACATACGTTGAAAATGTTTTCCATAGCTTACTATATGATTTAACTTCATTTGTGGTATTTTTTTTGACATTTCAATTTTATGTAGTCAAATATTTCAGTCTGTTTTCTTTATGACTCCTGCCTATAGTGACACGCTTCTAAAATTATCTACCCTGATCATTAAATATCCCAGCAATTTCTTCTGTTAATTTGTAATCTAATATTTTCTCATGTTAATATTTAATGCAACTGAAAGCCAAGCAGTGAGTAAGTGATCCCGGTACTACTTATTGAATTGTCCATCTTCCTCTACTTTTCTTTTTCTTTTCCTCCTTCCCTCCCTCCTTCCCTTTAGTGGTACTGGGGATTGAACCAAGAGCTCCCTGCTTTCTGGGCAAGAGCTCTACCACTTGAGCCATTCCCCAAGCCCTTTTGTTTTTATTAGGGTTTGAGACAGGTCTCACTAACTTTCCCCAGGACCGGGCCTCCAACTTGCAGTCCTCTAGCTCCTACCTCCCCAGTAGCTGAGATTACAGATGTTCACCACCATACTTGGCTTTACCCTTTCCCATTTTCATGAAACGACATTGGACTTGTATAAGTCAGTTTCTAAGCACATTATTGTAAAGTCAGTCTACTTCAGCTTGAATTTGAGCTTCACAGCTTACTGTGAATTTGCCCAATTTGCCTTATTTTTGTAGGGTTATATCAGTTAATTTATATAAAGTGTTTTACGTAGTACCTGGCATGGTGGATTTGCTCTGTAAATATTACCGGTCATTTTATTGTTGCTGTTACCTAATTTTTTTTTTTTACCAGTACTGTGGTACTTTAATTACTTTAAAATAATTAGATTTATATCTATAACACAAATTCCCTATTGTTGAAGTTCTTAAAAAAATCCTGTTTGGATATTTCCCTACATTTTTCCAGATAAACTTGAAAATAAGCTTGCTAATGTAGAATGTATTTTGATTTTGATTGAAACTGCATTACCGTAGGGAAGAAGGGGAAGGTAATGTGTTCTGAACTTTGTTCGAGTCTGCCAGGAGAGCTCACCCACCAATTGGCTTCCTGGAGGCTTTTGTTTCTCCAGTGGAGATTTGTCCCTGTAACTCTGTACAACTGTTGAACTGTCAATATAAAATTTTCTTAAGTTTGTTATGCACATACTCTGTAATGAGAAAATTATCACTTTGAAATATCTATAATTCCTTTTCTGTTTTTTATCTTGTTGCATGTGTTAGAATTTTCAAGGAATTAACAACTGGTGATTGTGATGGAAGACACCCTAGGTGGCAAGGGGACCATGCCATGCACAGAGGTGCTGAAGGTGGCGGCCTAAGATGTGGGGGTCAGGTGAGTGGATGGCTGGAGCAATGGCCTGACGCTGGGAAGGAAGGAAGGGAGAAGAGGTAGGCAGGGGCCAGAGCAGAAGAGGCTCCTGCACCCAGGCTGCTCAGTTTACCAAGACGAGCTCCTGAGTCATCACATCTCTTTCAAAGACCAGGTAGGGAAAAGTATGAATTTCTTCTGAGATAAACTTGAAAGAATATACACCAAGATACCCCTAGAACATTTGCAGGCTAATAACCAAGACCTAGCAATATATGAACCCATTAGCTGTGAAGTCTACAGAAATGCGATATGGCGATTTACATTTTCTCTCTGGAGCGAACTTGTACCTGCTCTGGGGTCTTGTCAGAAAAAATAATAGCTGAGCCTCCTTCTTGTACATCAGGGTAGTCAGGAAATGTGCCGGTCAAGTTCCTGCAGAGGAAAAGCAGGCAAATTAAGACAGAAACCAGGTGGGTCCACTCTGCTAGAAAACACCCCACAGGCCAGTTTCCTTGTGTTCCTGTGAGTGAGTCACAGTGTGGAGTGTCCTGTGGATGGAAGGTGGGACACCACGTCGCTGAGATGACATTGACAATGACAGTGACATTCAGTAGCACACCCTGTTCCTCTAGGGACTGGTTCCTCTGAGACAAATCTCTCTCTTGAAGACAGATTGTACTTTTCTTCCTCTCCCTTCCTTGGATTATTTATTTATTTTTTCTGTTTAATAGTAAGATGTTCTGTGCTTGAGTTACAAATGAAGACAGAAACACAAAGCATTTCTTCCTGTTGAAAATTTAGGATGAACACAGGATTTTGAAACTAAACAGAGGGGTGGAGCTGTGCAAATGACACATTTAGTAAGTGTCTGAAATTCACATGCATGCTTTAGTTTTTAGGAAGTCTGAGACTCTGTACTTGATAGGTTTCAAGTGTTATTTTCTTTTCCTGCCACCAGGTAATTTCTATACTTGGAAGGCAGGCGTGAAGTTTAATGTTGAGAATTTCAGAGGGGCACACGGGTAATATCGCTAAGACAGACTGACTTTGACACGAGTGTTATATTTACTCTACAAATAGGAAAAATAGACAACCTGCCACGTTTGTTCAGTGGATTCCCACATGTGCAGTATCTAAGGCTTGGAGGAGACACCCACGATGCTACCAGAGTGGTTCTCAAACTTTTGGCCTTAAGGAACCCTCATCATTTTTGGAATCCCCAAGATTTTTTGTTGCTGTGAGTTTGTAGCTCTCGATATTTACTGTAGTAGACATTGAAACTTAGAAATTTCTAAAATATGTACTTCTAATTCATTTAAAAATAATAAACCCATCATGGTAGCATACGTATCATTTTTATGAATAAGAAATACATTTTCCAAAGCGAAAATAAATTCATGAGAAGAGGGTTACTGTTTGGCTTCTTTTCAAGGGTGCTTAGTGTCTGGTGGTGGACGTTAGCTGGGTGCTCCTCCCGGCTCTGGATTCCTATCTGCTGTGGTCTGTTGTGGCTGCACGCAGATGTGAGTGGGAAGGGAGGAATATTGAATAGCCTTTGAGACATCGGTGAGCAGTGTCTTTCAGTTCTACACCACCACGGGACCTGCAGCTGCTTGTGATGTGTGTGGAATTGGAAACCAGTTCCAGTGGACTTCTGTCCTCTGTCACGTAAATCCACTGGTAAGTTTTGTGTCTTGAATAGACCTTTCACCCACGGGTGATTTGGTAACCTTAGGCCTTGCTCATTTGGGAAGCAGTGGTGCACTGAGTCACATGGGTCTTCCCCATGTCGGTGTATTTTGTCATATTGGAAACCACAGCCATCAATGCTGATGTCACCACTCATCTCCACGGGAAAGTCAGCAGTGGGGAGCTGTCATGCTCTCAGTGTGGTGTCCCGGGCGGGTGGGCTTTTGCCCACCAGACTCAATTCTTGACCCCTGTAGCCCAGTTTGGCCAGCTCCTGTCTTGGATCTGTGCATTGTTCAGCTTAGACAGGTGTTGGGCAAAGAGCATGAACCTAGCTGGGTGCCAGTGGCTCACACCTGTCAGTTCAGCTACTTAGAGGCTGATATGGAAAGGATCATGATTTGAGGCTAGTCCAGGCCAATGGTCATGAGACCCCATCTCAACAGAAAAAAGCAGGGTGTGGTGGTGAGTGGCTTTCATCCCAGCTATGGTGGGAAGAGTCAACAGGAGGATTGTGCTCCAGGTTGGCCTGGGCAAAAAGCAAGATACTATTTCCAAAATAACCAGAGAAAAAAAGGTTGGGGGCATGGCTCAAGGGGTCGAGCTCCTGCCTCACAAGCATGAAGCTCTGAGTTTAGGCCCAGTACCACCAAAAACAAAACAAAACAAAACAAAAGCATGACCACATTTCACCTCAACGTTACATCACTTTCTCCCCATGCTTCATATGACTGCACACGACTGCAACTCCACTACATAACTGTTTTCATATTTTAAAGCGTGAGTGTTTTGAGGATTCAAACTTAGGGACTTACTTAAAAAAATCCAAAATTTATGTATGCCATTTTGAACGTGGGATTCTTAATTATACGGCAATCAATTTTCACTAAGATTTAATGATATATTTTCACAATACCTTTTGCAAAATAACATCAAATATATTTAGTTTTAATAGATTTGTTGTTGGGTACACATTTAAAAATAGAAACTTCTGTCTAGAAAATGGTGTACCCTGCCAGCTTTATCACACACACACACACACACACACACACACACACACTGCATGTGGCTACACAGACATTGCACTATTGCTTTCTCATACGTACTCAGCCCCATCTGTCCCCCTTTCCAGGGGTGCCTACAGTGGTGGATAGTCCCAGGGTACCCTTGGGTCCTGATGGGACTCTTTCCTAAGTCCCCTCCCCGTGATGTGGCCACTACATCACACCAAGAGAAGACAGGTCTGGGCTCTGTTTTGTGTTTCTGTGATTCCTTCCCTTGACAGTCGGGTTTTTTCAGCTGGGCATGGTGGCGGTCTGGGCCCTGTCCTCACCACCCAGCCAGCCTCCTTGGAATCAGACTCCGGCCCTATTGCACAGCAGTGGCATGGCACTGCACATTTTACACTCAGGGCTCACCTCCCTGTAGGAGGGATCAGAGCTGAGGGAGGAGGAGGCTGACAACCAGGGATCAGGGAAGAGAAAATGTTATTTGAGTTCCCTCCAGCACAGACAGCTGGGAAAGCCAGCCATGACTGCAGGTGATGCCCACCTGGGGCTTTTCAGGAGGAGCTGAGGGCCCCAAATTGCATGGTGTCAGGAAGATGGCACTTTTGATTACAAGTTTGTGGAATCTGATCCCTCTGAGCCTTCTTTCTTCTCAATGGGCGCTCATTCCTGTCTTTGGCCTCCGTCCCAATAGCCCCAGGATCTCCCGGATAGGGGATGGTGGAAGCTGACACTTGGACCCATATGGTCACCACCCAAGGAGCCCGGAACCCGCAGGCAGGCCAAGTGTCTGAACAACTCTTTCTGCTGGGCACAGGACTGACACACTGAACAACAGTGTTATTCAAACACCTGCACTTGTAAAATGACAGGCTGTCAGCCCTCGGAGACCCCAACAGTCACATACCAGGCTCAGCCACTGTCACCTGTGGGGCTGTCACCATCACCTTCCTGAGACCAGTCCTCCTTCACATTGGTCTCTGTACCCTGACTAAGGGCCTGGCTTCACATCTCACTCTTATGGTCCTTTTATTCCTCCAGCACCTCCTCCCACCCTGCCATACCCAGCTGCTTCCCTGTGGATCTGGAAGCTGCTCAGTTCTCCCTCCTCATTCTGTCCTGTCCTTACCTTTCACCCCCCCTCCCATTCCCCTCCCCTCCACCCAAGCTGCTGGCTTATCTCTCTGCCTGTTTGGTGTGACTGAGGAGAGCTGTCCACACCCACTGCCCCATTAAGACAGTTCTCACAGATGCTGTGTGTTAAATGGCACTCCCCTCCACCCCTAGTGGCTCTCCCAACTTCCAAGAGTCATATGTTAAAGTTCTGAACCTTGGTACCTTTGGATGTGACCTGCTTTGGAAAGAAGGTTCTTAGATGTACTTAGTTAAGATGAGGTCACACTGGAGCAGGGTGGACCCTAATCCAACATGACTGACATCCTATAAGGAGGAGAAATTTGGACAGAGACAGATAGCTACAGAAGGAAAATGCATGAAGAGATACAGGGAAGGAATGGCTGTCTGGAGTGGGTTTTGCCACACGACCTCAGAAGGAACCCCTTGGGCTTCTAGCTTCTAGGTCGGAGACAGTCCTTTCCTGTTCAGTCACCCAGCTGTGTTACAGTGGCCATAGCACTCTACCATATAGTTTTGCACTGAGGTTGGTGTCGCTGTCTTCACCACAAGGAAAGATTCTCTTTCCTTGATTTCCATGGCCCGCACCCCTGTGGCTTCTTCCTGGCCACTCTCTCTCTGTCTTCCTCAGGTAACCCCTTCTCTGCCTTCCATGGACAAAGCTCACAAAGGGGGACCTGCAGGCAGTACCTGGGCTCCCCAGGTGACTTCCCTCCCACCTTTGCTCTCCCACACTGATCCCTCCTAACCAGGCTTTCCTGCTGGGTCCTCCTTGTCCCTCCGCCTGTAACACTGGGGGGCAGGGCTTGATCTTGGGTTTCTCTCCTCTTTGTCCTCATCTACTCTCACCCTTAGGGTCTCATCTACTTTCCTGGGCTTCAGCTCTTTAGGGCATCTCCTTCCCTCACCTGTCCCTGACTATAGACTCAGATTCAACTGCCCACTGACATCGGGAAGCACAGTAGAAGTGTCTCAAACCTAAAACTCCACTCTTGTTCTCACCATGTAACTTCCACACCTCCTTCCACTCCTCCCATGGTAGAAAATAGAGACTCTGGCCTGTCACTCTAAAGACCAGAACTTGGGGCCAGCCTTGGCCCAGCTCCTTCCATCACACCTGGGTTCAGTACATCTGCACTGAACCCCGCCTTGGGTTTCATCCTCTTAGTCCATCTCAATGTGACCATTCTACATCACTGTCCCAGGCCTGGGATACTGTTATGTGCCTGTCTTACACGACGAGGTGGTCTTTTGGCTGCTCCCCAGGATCTACCCTCCAGGTAGCAACCATGGTCATTTAAAAACGTAAGTCATACTGTGACATTTCTTTGCTCAAAATTTCACAATTCTCTCACTTAATATGAAACCTTTGCCCATATAAGTAGGTTAACCTACGTCTCCGTACCCATGGGACAGGACCAGCTTATTTGAATAGTATCAGTCCCTTTCATTCGTAAAATTGTCCTGGTTTGAACTTTAAATTACATGGCTCCTTCACTTACAACAGTCAATGTGATGCTCCCTGTCACTTCCTGGCCCTGTCTCCATCACCTTCTTCCTTGTGGGTCTAGTTTCAGCTGCTCTGACCTCTTTCCACTCCCA